CCTGCCACAATGCCTGATGTAATAATAAAAAGGCCTTATTTTTTTTTTTTTGTTACTGTTTTTTTTTTTGACCAGGGCTGGGTTTGAACCTGCCACCTACGGCATATGGGGCCAGTGCCCTACCCTTTTGAGCTACAGGCACTGCCCTTTGTTTTCTTATTGTTGTTGTTGTTTAGCAGGCTCTGGCCGGGTTTGAACCCACCAGCCCCAGTGCATGTGGCCGGTGCCCTAACCACTGAGCTATAGGCACCAAGCCATTATTATTTTTAAAGGCTTTATTTTTTTGAGCAGTTTAGCTTTACAGAGAAAGTGAGTGGAAAATGCAGAGCTCCCATGTGCCCCCTCAGACCTCCCGCTTCCCCTAATATTACTAATATTTTGCCTTGGTGTCGGACGTTTTTTATAATTGGTAAGCCAATATTGATATGTTATTATTAACTAAAGCCCAGAATTTACATTAGGGTTCACTCTTAGTGACAAGTGCCTTTTATGTTGTACCTTTCCAGGGTTGCAAAGCTACGTGATGAAATTATGGCCTTAAGAAACGAATGCTCCTCTGTGTATAGCAAAGGACGCATGCTAACTACGGAACAGACAAAGCTCATGATATCAGGAATTACCCAGAGTTTAAACTCAGGATTTGCACAGAGCTTACACCCCAGTCTGAACTCAGGGTTGACGCAGAGTTTAACACCTTCCCTGACCTCTTCCAGTGTGACTTCTGGCCTCTCATCGGGGATGACTTCCCACCTAACTCCATCTGTCACTCCAGCTTACACACCTGGCTTCCCATCAGGATTAGTTTCAAATTTTAATTCAGGAGTAGAGCCACATTCCTTGCAAAATTTGAAGTTGATGCAGATCCGAAAACCCCTTCTAAAGTCTTCTTTGTTGGATCAAAATTTAACAGAAGAGGAAATCAACATGAAATTTGTTCAGGATCTTCTGAATTGGGTGGATGAGATGCAGGTAAAAAGAAAAATGGTTACTTTAAGTGTTGCAGTCCTCCTTGCTGTCAGTTTCTTTTTTTTTTAAACCTAGTATTTTGTTGTTTGAAGGGACAGCTGGACCGAACTGAATGGGGCTCGGATTTGCCGAGTGTTGAAAGCCATTTAGAAAATCATAAAAATGTCCACAGAGCTATTGAAGAATTCGAATCTAGCCTTAAAGAAGCTAAAATCAGTGAAGTATGTGACTCTAGTATAAAATTTGTGTCTTTTTCTTTTCAATTTATTGTTGTTTTGCTTTTCACCTAAAGACTTTGTAATTCAATAAGAGGTGCATTAAATGTGAGTCAGAATTCCTTCAGATTCCTAACCTCGACGTGTTTTTATCCCTTGTTGTAGATTCAAATGACGGCACCTCTTAAACTAACCTATGCAGAAAAGTTACACAGATTAGAGAGTCAGTATGCAAAACTACTGGTAAGTTTTTTGTTTTTTTTTAAATGACTTTCTATTTTTCTTCTCTCTGTTTGGTAAAGACACGATTCTTACATTGATTTTCCTTATAAAGAACACATCCAGGAATCAGGAGCGCCACCTCGATACACTCCTCAATTTTGTAAGTCGTGCAACTAATGAACTTATTTGGCTGAATGAAAAAGAAGAGGAGGAAGTTGCTTATGACTGGAGTGAGAGAAATACTAACATAGCTCGGAAAAAGGATTATCATGCTGTAAGTATGACCCCCGCCCTTTCAGAATAAGGTTGTACTTCAGGTTTAGATCTTTTTCTAACACATTTCTTAATTCTCGAATTAGGAATTAATGAGAGAACTTGATCAAAAGGAAGAAAATATTAAATCAGTTCAGGAGATAGCAGAGCAGCTACTTCTAGAAAATCACCCAGCTCGGTTAACTATTGAGGTAAGTCAGGAAGTGTATAAGGGAGGTGGGTATGGTGGCACAGGTTTGTAATCCTTTGGGAGGCTGAAACAGATGCATTGCCTGGGGTCAGGAGTTTGATACCAGCCTGAGCAAGAGTGAGACCCCATCTCTTAAAAAAAAAAGCCTGGCATTGTGGCACACTTCTGTAGTCCCAGCTACTTGGGAGGCTGAGGCAAGAGGATCACTTGAGTTTGAGGTTGCTGTGAGCTGTGATGCCATGGCACTCTACTGAAGGCAACAAAGTGAGACTCTGTCTCAAAAAAAAAAGTGTGTAATGGTCTTGGTTGAATATTGACATGTGGTTATTGCCTTTCAGATTCTTTTATTGCTGATAAATTGAAAAATACAAACTATCAAACTTCTATTACGTTGACTTAAAAATAACGTTTCTACCAAATCATACTGATTCTTGCTTCCCGTTCTCTTGCTCCAAGTCTGTCCCTTATCACTTAGAATAAAGGTCCCTTTGTTAATCCCTCTGGCTGAGGAGATGTATTACCATAAATAAGAAAGACCTTTTCTTTATAAGCTTTGGCATCTTAGTTCCTGCTGGCCGTGTGACATTGGAAAAGTGACGTCATCTTGCTAAGTCTCACTTCCTACCCCAAATAGGGGAAATTGCCTCTGATAATAGAGTTGTGTTGAAAACGAGAAGAAATTACTTACTTTTATGTAAACGTGGTATATTCTCAAGAAGTATCAGCTGTTATGATTTAATTTAAGAATCTTACAATCTGGTTTTGTGACGTGTATTGCAGCAACGTCCGGGCAGCCTCATGGTGTATGGTGAACCTTTCAAATACAGAAGCGTTCAGTTGATGAGGGATTTATCAGGTTGCTTGTGCTGTTGTGGCAGTGGTGGTGTTAATTCTTAGAGCAGATATTTACTAGGTAGTGTTAGTGACTTTCCGAGTGGGAAAGGGGGTTAGGTAAGAGGACCAGGAATGTCCTTCCTGGGCAGACAGATGTGGCCTATTGCTAGACTAGGGAAAGACAGATGCCTTGCATAAAAGATGACATGCTTTAGACTCCCTTAGCATTGAGGGATGGAATCTGGGAGTCTGCTAAAATCATTATGACTCCGGAGACTGGTAAAGTTCTAGGCCTCATTAGAAAGTTTGGAGATTGTTCTATTTGACCTTCATTTCATTTAAAATACGGTTTTACATCCACATGAAATGCTGGGTATGAATGATAAAGATGCAGAAGGTTAGGGAAAGAACGCCGATAATGGGGGGTCTGGGATGTAGTTTTGTAAGATAATAAACTAAAAATAGCGTACTCCTTAGGGCAGAAAGAAGAAAGCTGTTAGGAAATATAATTATACATTAGGAATTTTGATGGGGATGGAAAATGTTAGTCTGACCATTTATATGCAGAAATAATAATCTAATTAATGAAAAGTTTCTGAAGGGGTAAAATGAGGCCTTAGTAATCTTTATGATCTCATTGGCTTATTCTGTGTATGGGTATGTGGGTAACGTTTAGTTCATTTATCAACACTATTTCATATTTTACATGAAAAAAGTAACCATAGGAATCTAACAGTAATGCCTTTTATGGGTCGGTTTATTCAAAGTCGCTTAATTTGAGGGAACACATAATATGATCGTGACATATTGCCGTATTTTCAATGCTGCACTGAGTGTTCTTTTCTGAAAGCTACCTGAGCATAACTCAGCAAGCATGGGTTTTTCCAAAACAGGAATAAAATGAGACTTGCGTAGTATCGTCATTAAAGGGCGAGCACCCTCTCCTGGAAGTCAGTGAATTGCACTTTGAATATAAAAGGGTGTTCGTGTTTCCTTAATGAATTGGACGTCCTTTCTACAGTATTTTTATGAAAGGTACACCCTGCATTAAACTAAAAGCTTAAGAAAACAATTTTTTAAATAAAAAAAGTTAGTATGATCATCGTTATAATTCTAGAATTGCACTTGTTTGAGAGTGCACGTACCCCTTTCCCTTCCCTGCCCAAACCTTAACTCTTTGTTTATAAAGAGAAAATGACAGAACTAGATATTTCTGTATGAGAAGGTGTATTTCATGGTCCAGGAAGATGAGAATTCAGAAAAAGGGGTGAAGGTGTCACGAAGGAAAGCCTATCTGAGGATTCCCCAGAGCAAGTATAAGGGTTGGTAGCAAAGGAGTAAAGGGGTTGGTTTTCTAACTAGGACCGACAGCTTGCATTTATGTCCGTGGTTATTTTTTTCATGTAAAATAGCCAGTGTTAACTTCTTTCTTGCATTATAAGAAGAAATTTTAATAAGTTTAAAATTGAAAAGAAAGAAACTGGCCTAATTCTGAACTTAGGACTGGCTCTGTGCAAGTGGCAACCCCTAGGTCAGAAGGGCATTCCATTACCCTGATGTTTAAGTCTTACCGAGTTCAGTGCTCGACTCTGCTGCTCAGATAGCCGAGTACTGGAGCGATTAGAAGCATCAGTGTGCGTGTGCTTTATTACTCTCCAGCTGGTCACGGTGGCTGTGTTTTATCTCCCAGGCCTACAAAGCGGCGATGCAGACGCAGTGGAGCTGGATCCTACAGCTCTGCCAGTGTGTGGAGCAGCACATAAAGGAGAACACGGCCTATTTTGAGGTCTGTGAATAAAGGCATAACTTCCATAGATGGTATTGTGATTTTGGCTGACTTACAGAAATCTTCTTCATAATTTACGGTTAAGATATATAAACAAGTCAGACGCGGTGGCTCACGCCTATAATCCTAGCACTCTGGGAGGCTGAGGCAGTGGATTGCTTGAGTTCAGGAGTTCGAAATCAGCTTGAGCAAGAGCAAGACGCTGTCTCTATTAAAAACAGAAAAACTAGCCGGGCATGATGGCAGGTGCCTGTAGTCCCAGCTATTCGGAAGGCTGAGGCAGGAGGATTGCTTGAACCCAAGAGTTTGAGGTCGCTGTGACCTATGACGGCACGACACTCTGCTGAGGGTGACAAAGTGAGACTTTGTCTCAAAAAAAAAAAAAAAAGACATATAAACATATTTACTGTGCAAGGGCAATTAGTGGAAAATGGTTTTGTTAATATCCATGAAGTTCGTATGCTATTTAAAATAGTGTGCAATTTAAAATTGCACATGAACTTTTTGGACATTCTGTATAAAAGGGTTAGTTTCATGTTCTGTAGGATCAATTCTTTTAAGCATTCTATTAAGGAAGAAATCCTTTAAAAAAAAAACTTAAGATATTATATCATGAAGTCTTTATTCTACAAATATGTCTCTTACTAAGGAAATGTTTTCATCACAGAGAGTCAACCAAATGAGCTCTTTGTTCTATTTATAAGAATTTTAAAGTATTCCTGGAATACCTCTACCTAAAAGTTGTTCAAACCCTAAAGTAAAACAGACTTTCGATCAAAACAATACAGAGTCAGAACATGCGCATAAGCTTAGGACTCTTACTATTTTTTCATAATTCCCCAACTGTCCCCATGGGTTGTTGTCTGGCTCCAGGAAGGACATGGCTGTCAACTTGTCTTGTGGTGTTTTTATTGTGTTCCCGCTTACGGGGGGTACACACAGGGCCCTGGTACTGAACTTGACATCTCTGTGTTTTACTATGTTTGTCGTACTTTAACTGCCAAATTTCATCTTTCCTTAGTTTTTCAATGATGCCAAAGAAGCTACTGATTACTTAAGGAATCTCAAAGATGCTATTCAGCGCAAGTATAGCTGTGATAGATCAAGCAGCATTCACAAACTGGAAGACCTGGTTCAGGAATCAATGGTACGAAGACGAAAGCTCACACATTTCCTCAGTGATGGGTGGTGATCAGATCACTGTTTTGTTACATTTTTAGGGATTTAGAACTTGAGATTTTATTGGCACTCTTGATATTTCCACCTCATTCAATTAAGCATTTAAGCGTTCAGTTTCATTATTGTTTTGATAAGAAATACAGTAGTTTTTTTTTTTTTAAATTTGATAGCCTTGTGATATGCTTGCACAGTGTTCTTTTGGTTTGGGGTGTGTGGTTAGCCATTCAGTCCATTCCATGAGTGCTGCTTAAGTACTTTCTGTGTCCCAAGCATTGTTTTAGGTTCTGGAGATACAGCTGTGAACAAATCAGATAAGAATCTCTACTCCTGTGCAGGGGGCAGAGGTGGACAACAAACTGAATAAATAAATAAAATAGTGATCAGTGCTCAAGAAGACAACAAACTGAATAAATAAATAGATTGTGATCAATGCTCAGGAGGAAAAGAAATAGCCAACCAAACAAAATAAAGGAAGAGAGATGCAGGAGGAGTGGGGAGGAATAGAAAGTTCAGACTGGGTGATCAGGAAGGACTTTTCTGATGAAGTTTCATTTGCGCAAAGCCCCAAAGGAATGGGGAGTACAAGTCTTATTTTTAAAAATCCATTGCTTTTATTACTTAGGAAGAGAAGGAAGAACTTCTTCAGTACAAAAGCACAGTAGCAGCCTTGATGGGGAAAGCGAAAACAATAACTCAGCTGAAGCCAAGAAATTCTGACTGTCCACTCAAAACGTCTATTCCGATCAAAGCTATCTGTGACTACAGACAAATTGAGGTACTTGTAACTCCTTGAAATAGACCCGTTACTGTCTTTATTCATCTATTTTTAGAGATGAGATCATACGGCTTACAAGTGGTTAAGTTCTTCTATTTTATACAAAATACAAGACTGAATATGGAAAATGATTCGTTAACAGCGACCTCACTTAGTTTTTCTGTTCTTCATTTAAAACCAGATAACCATTTACAAAGACGATGAGTGTGTTTTGGCAAATAACTCTCATCGTGCTAAATGGAAGGTCATTAGTCCTACTGGGAATGAGGCTATGGTCCCGTCCGTGTGCTTCACTGTCCCTCCACCAAACAAAGAAGCGGTTGATCTTGCAAACAGGTGTGTATGCGTCAGCTGAAATCACAGGGTCGGTTTTGGGGTTCCGTGAAGATTGAAGAAGCAGTCACTGCTTAGTCAAGGCCACCAAGAATCACAGCCTGTAGAACTAATGCACCCGGGGTGCTTCACACAGGGGAAGAACAACTGTAGTGTGTTTTCAGAGGAAGTAAAAAGCATTAAACTGTTTTCTTTCATGTATTTCAGAATTGAGCAACAGTATCAGAATGTCCTGACTCTCTGGCATGAGTCCCATGTAAACATGAAGAGCGTCGTATCCTGGCATTATCTCATCAATGAAATTGATAGAATTCGAGCTAGCAATGTGGCTTCAGTAAGTGTAAATCTACGTGTCAATCCAATGTGTTAAAAAATGTGGGATACTTTGTCATCCGTGGGGTGGAGTTTATATTTGCTATGGAATAGGATGGAGCCCAGAACATCCATGCTAATATTCATCCAATAAATGAATATTTGTTATATGTCCACTGTATTCAATTCCCCTTCTAAGAATTGGGGACATCTGGAGAGAACAGATTTCTTCCCGTGCTTACTGGGCGATAAGGAGGCAGGACAGTGTTTGGCCGTACAGACTTGGGGGTAGTTTATTTCATGTCTTGAATTTTGTGGATTTATTTTTCCTTCTCTTTTAAAACCTGCAATTTCTAATGAAAAAGAAAATGAATTTCAGATGGTTCTTGTATTTAGAACTGTTAGTGTACACTGGCATACACCATGAGACCACATTGCGATCTGTCCCATTCAGATGTAACTCCTGGTACTATGCTCATTTACTTACATGGATCTTTGCTTTTCTTTAGATCAAGACAATGTTGCCTGGTGAACATCAGCAAGTTCTGAGTAATCTGCAGTCTCGGTTGGAAGATTTTCTAGAAGACAGCCAGGAATCCCAAATATTTTCAGGCTCAGATATAACACAGCTAGAAAAGGAGGTTAATGTATGTAAGCAGTATTATCAAGAACTTCTTAAATCTGCAGAAAGAGGTAAAGCATGAGAACTCTTGTCTTTTTTCCTCACGGGTGTTTAGTCCAGGCTCTTTTTCACTCTCGGTGGGAGTTTCAGGCTTGGGTGTGTTACATCACTCACCTCCGTGATACGTAGATGCCATTGCTGGAACGTTAAAAGCACGTTTGAGGTAGAAGATGCAGGAAGGATTCATTTATTGCAGTTCCAAATGATGAATTAACCACAAGACACCCACCAAATAGTACGGCAAGGCATTCTTTTTAGTGTTTTCACCATTTTTGCTATGCAGTATTCAGAATGATGATTCTATAGTTTCAGGAAAGATTCAGTTATTTTCTCATTTACCAAACTTTGATTTCATATGTGAATTACAGCAAAAGGTTTTGTCTGGTTAAATTTTGGTAAATGTATATTTTATTTTGAAATCTGGTGATATTATTAATTAGAGATATTTTAAGAGCAAATGTTCTATTTTTAAAAAATCTTAAATATTAACACATTCTTTTACCTTTTAAGGATTTTTGTATTTTATAATTAATCTTCAACTAGTAAAATTCACATTTTTATGAACATAAAAGAGCAAATATTACTTTCTTTGACTTTTGAGACAAAGTCTCACTTCGTTGCCCCTGGTAGAGTGCCATGGTGTCGTAGCTCAGAGCAATCTCAACTCATGGGCTCAAGAGATTCTCTTGCCTTAGCCCTCTGAGTAGCTGGGTTGGTTTACAGGTGCCCACCACAGCTCCTGGCTATTTTTAGAGGCAAAGTCTTGCTCCAGCTCACGCTGGTCTCCAACTTGTGAGCTCAGCCGATCCATCCACCTCCGCCTCCCAGAGTGCTGGAGTTACAGGCACGAGCCACTCGCCCAGCCTAAATTATTACTTTCTTTGGACATTGTTAATCAGAAATTTGTACTTGAAATGGCCTTAGGGAATTTTTATTGCAGCTTCTTAAATTTTAAGATTTATATTTTAAGGTTTATATCTTTCGCAAAGATTCATGATAAAAATAGGAACCATTAGTTTGATTAGTTACGTCCTCTTAATAGTAAAACTGCCACAGTGAAACATGAAAAAGAGCAGTCAAAAGATAGAAACCAGAAAACCTTGTAATTATCTTCACAGAGGAACAAGAGGAATCAATTTATAATCTCTACATCTCTGAAGTTCGAAACATTAGACTTCGATTGGAGAACTGTGAAGATCGACTGATTAGACAGATCCGAACTCCCCTGGAACGAGATGATGTGCATGAAAGTGTGTTCAGAATCACGGAGCAGGAGGTGAGAGTTACAAACATGTTGGAAAAATAACTAACGAGATAAGCTACGGTCTGAATGACCTTAGGTCTCAACCCCTGTGACTTCTTATGTGTTGAACTTTGCTCATTAGTCACACTGTGAGAGCTGAGTATGTATTTGTTGCTGATTATAAGCTAGGATTCTATAAATCAGTTCTACCTCTGATCAGGTAGAGGAGGGAACATGTACCCTCTCACCGCCTGTGGTGGAGGCTGTGAAAGTCGTGATACACCTGCTGTGTACAGAAGCACTAAGTTAGATGTTGGGGCTAAGGAGATGGGCAGTAAGGGAGTTACTGATTGTAAGACTTTGATGCCATGGATTAGTCTCTTTAATACTGAAAAGGTAAGCCATGAGTTGATTTTTAAGTCGGTGATCATAATGTGAAATGTACATTTTTAAACTGTTTTGAGAAAAATGCCTCATCCACGGTGATTGACAAATCCTCGTGTTCTTTCTGTGTCTTATAGAAACTAAAAAAGGAACTGGAACGACTTAAAGATGATTTGGGAACCATCACAAATAAATGTGAGGAATTTTTCAGTCAAGCGGCAGCCTCTCCCTCAGTTCCCACCTTACGATCTGAGCTGAGCGTGGTCGTTCAGAACCTGAACCAAGTCTATTCCATGTCCTCCACTTACATAGAGAAGTACGTACCTGCGGTCTTGGTAGGAAATGTGGCTCATGCTGCTGTCGTTTTTATATACTGCTAATTTAAAACTTCATTTTTTATTAATGTAAATATTCACTTTTATTTTGTCTTAAGAAAGGCATTAAATACTTTTATGGAATCATGACATTTCTGTGTGTCGAAAGGGGCTGTGCCTCCGAGATTAGGCGTACTGTGTAATCCTCCCCAGTAGCCGTGGCCGCTCAGCTGCTGTAACCTCTAGGATTTTCCTCTCGTGCTTGGCCTAAACAAGATTAGAAGGAAACCATGTCACGTTGGACTATCCTGCTAAATAGCGTCCACTTGCAGGGTAGGGCATGGGGTGGAAGACATGCTGTCTATTAAGAAGAGGTGACGATGACTCTTGTAGTCAATGTGTCAGCGTTCCCAGAGAAAGAGCAAGCTGTGCCACGTGTCATAATGATGCCTGAGCACTGCATTATGTGAAATCAACATTTAACAACAGGTGGCTATTGTTTGATTCCTTTTTTAAGGTTGAAAACTGTTAATTTGGTGTTAAAAAACACTCAAGCGGCAGAAGCCCTCGTAAAACTCTACGAAACTAAACTGTGTGAAGAAGAAGCAGTGATAGCTGACAAGAATAATATTGAGAATCTAATCAGTACTTTAAAGGTACGAGTCTCACCTTTGGCTATTTTTCAAGACCATCCTCTAAGTATTTCTCTCACACTAGCTCAGATCTTTAAACGTCAAGCATTAGATATCTTACTTTGAAGGTTCTTTTGAATGGATTTATTCCATTTCATGTTTCCATAATTCCTCAGCTTACTGTAAATAGATATGGCCAATCACTTCCGTCTGAGAAGAGTTCTTCTCATCTGAAGTTTGATCTTTTTAGATGGTAGCTTTTGATAATCGAGCAGAAGGAGGAGTTGAAGCTGAAAATCAAATTTTTTTGTAAAAGATAAGCCTTGCTAAAAGAGGCACTTACTTTAAAATATCAAGGAGATAAACAGAAGACTTACTCTAAGAAAGGAAAAAGACTAGTAGTCATACTCCTCCGTATCATATATTTCTGTATATATTTCTCTATATAAAACTATTGGAAAGCAATTGTGAGAGGTTACCTCAGTGATTTGTCATGCAAATATTGATTTTTTTTTAACAACAGAATTAGTAGGCGTTAAGCATAGACAATAAAAGGACATATTTCACAAATTTGCTTATGGAATATATTTTATTTTCTTGATGTGCAAATTCAACTGAGCCAAACTTCATAAAATTGTCAATTAAGGAGAATCGGAGTGCCATCAAATATTGGCAGTTTCATAAGGTTCACCCTAATATAACATCTTATAAAGGAAAGACAACTCTTCTTTCCTTTATCTGATTTTATATCAGTCATTTATAAACACATTGTAAAAATAGGTAAAGACTGTGTTTACCCAGCAAGTGATGGATGTTTGCGTAACTTTCAAATTAATGTATTTTAGCAATGGAGAGCTGAAGTCGATGAGAAGAGAGAGGTCTTCCACGCGCTAGAGGATGAGCTACAGAAAGCTAAGGCCATCAGTGATGAAATGTTTAAAACGTACAAGGAACGGGACCTTGATTTCGACTGGCACAAAGAAAAAGCAGATCAGTTAGTTGAACGATGGCAAAATATTCATGTGCAGATTGACAACAGGTTAGTATCCTCTTTTGTTCAGTTTTAATACAGATTTAATATCCCTCTGTGTACTTGGTAAAATCTAAATTTGTTAGGCTTTTAAAAAACTTCCATAGTAATAGCTCTACCTAATTATATTTCTTTCTTAATATGATAAGAAGTTTAGTAAGACATTTCACTTCAAAATAAACATTTTCAACTCTATTATTAAAGGTACTTATGTATTCTGGGATTTAGATAGTTAATCTACTTGCCTTTTCTAAGGGAAAAAAAAAACAATATAGTTTGTGAATTATAACGATATTCAAATAACCTTGATGTAGTAAGAGCATTAATCGTGTGTTTGTTGGGATCATATGTAGTAATTTATACTAGACGTAAGAATGGGAAGGAATTGAAATGACGTGATGGTCGGATCTGTCAGTATAGAGTATAAATTATAAATGTCTTAACACAATAATTAAGTAAACGAGATGAGGCATATATTAACCAGTGTGATGTGAGCAGCACATTGCACCCCATAGATGTATTAATGTATACATGATCTATGTGTTTATGATTTAATAAAAAAAAAGAAAGAAAGAAAATAGGAAAAAGTTGATATTGCCCAGTGACTAAGTTAAAAAAGCAAAAGGAAACAGGATGGCTTTAGGCTCATCTTAAAAGAAATGGATTAGTGTCTTTCTCATTTGTTTTCATGTTTCTATTAATGCAAATAAAATTATTTTATGACATAATGTCATTCTTGAGAAGTAAAATTATGCTGAAGTATATGGTATTACCTCATCTCTTATAAGTGATAAAAAAAGTTTAATGTGATAGTTTTAAAAATCATAGAAACAAGTACTTAATCACAGCTTTCACTCTCTGCAACCGTGCTGAACTGCTCATTGAACTACCTTCTCCTTATTTCAAAAGGGAAACTAACATTTGATGCAAGCCTTAGTTATTCAAGATAAGTATTATAGTTAAGGTTCCACTTCTCTTGATTTTTACTTTTGGCTTGTCCCTAGAATAATAAGTAGCCCAATATTGCACAAGTCTGGGACGAAATGCTTGTGTTCAACCTGAAAGCCAATATGGAGTGCCCTTGCAGGTGGTGCCCCAGGTATTACAGCCGCGGATTCTTTACACACACAAGTGCAGTGTCCTGCAGTTACTCTGTCTCTCCCTTCTCTCCCTCCCACCCTCCTAATGGATGCCGCTGGAAACTCTGACTGTTTGGTTCTACTCTCTTAGGTTACGAGACTTGGAGGGCATTGGCAAATCCCTGAAGTACTACCGAGATACCTATCACCCGTTAGATGACTGGATCCAGCAGGTTGAGACTACTCAGAGAAAAATTCAAGAAAATCAGCCTGAGAATAGTAAAACCCTAGCCACACAGTTGAATCAACAAAAGGTATGGAAAAGCAGTTTCTTGTACTACGGTTGTGCCTGTAGTTGGTCATTCATGATTTTCAAAGTCCTAATGATCATTTAATCATAGGTATGGAAAGCTCTTTGGTACTTTGCTGGCCCCTCTAGTTTTGTGGGTTCCTAAATAAATAAAAATGGTTAGTGGTAGAAAATTAAAGTATCACATTTGACAGAAAGCTGAGAATTTTGTTCTAACTTCAGGGGCCAGTACTTTCTAGCTCTTTTTTCATTGAGAGTAGGGAGTGGCCAAAGGCATCGAATCTGCTTGTGGATAATTCCTGTGCAGTTCAGTGATTTTTTGTGCTCATGGTGGGTTTTTTATGTGGGTTTGTCTTGCCTTATTTACCCACATGTCACATTGCCTATTAACTACAAAGGGCTAAGGATCTATACTGTTAGTAATGTGGGTATTTTTTAGTTCCTGAGGATTTTAGGTGGTAGAACTGCATATAGTACCCTATCCTTTTTCTTCTAAACTATATGTGTTTATAGATGCTGGTGTCTGAAATAGAAATGAAACAGAGCAAAATGGATGAGTGTCAAAAATACGCAGAACAGTACTCAGCTACAGTGAAGGTAAGATTGATTTGCTTTAGACAAATTTAACATTTAGATGTATAATTTACAGTGTACTTTCAAAGTCATACAAGTCATTTCACTCTGTGTTAAAAGGTAAAAAGACGAAATCCTCATTTGAACTTTTTTTGATGCGTTATCTAATAATTCTTTGTGAGATTATAGTCAAATAACAGTCCTGATTCATTCACGCTCTTTCTCGGCATCTCACGTGTGTGTAAGCTTGTGTGCACCCCTCAACACGCACCACCCCAGATCCACCAGAATGAATACAGAGTTCTGAAGCTGGTTTTTGAATCACTTCTGCTCTTTCTTTTTTCTTTTTCTTTTCCTTAATGTTGCTAGAATATTCCATGGAAGAACTTCTCACTTTCTCATTTAGGGGACATTTCTTACTCTTTTCATGTCATCATTGACAACGTCTCAGCTTTAGCCTTCCAGATCCACAGTTCCATTCCCTAGCTGGAAGAAAGGGAGATTGCCTATAACTAGGATATTGTAATAAAATTTTTGTGAGCTTCCAAAGAAATGTGGGACATTACCTGACCACCCTGAATGTTTCTGATGTTATTCACACCTTAAAAGCATCTTCAGGAGGATTGGATAGATTTCTAAAAATATAGGATTTTTTTGTTTCGTTTTTTTCTTGGAGACAAGGTCTCACTTTGTTGCCCAGGCTGGAGTGCAGTGGTGTGATTATAGCTCACTGATCCCTGGAACTCCTGGACTCAAGGGATTCTTCTGCCTCAGTCTCCTGAGTAGCTGGGATTATAGGCATGTGCCACCATGCTTGGCTAAAAACGTAGTTTTGCAGTACAGTCATGTGTCACTTAACAATAGGGATAGGCTCTGCGAGATTTGTCGTTAGGTGATTTTATGCTTGTGGGAACATCACAGAGTGTACTTAAATCTAGATGGAATGGCTCATTACATGCCTAGGCTGAGTAGTCCAGCTTGTTGATCCAAGGCCACAAATCTGTACAGCATGTTCCTGTACTGAGTGCTGAGGGCAATTGTAACCCAAAGGTAAGTACTTGTGTATGTACAGAAACACAGAAAAGGTACAGTAAAAATAGGCAATAAAAGATCAAAAATAGTACACTTTTATAGGACACTTATGAATGGAGCTTTCAGGATTGGAAATTGCTCTGGGTGAGTCCGTGAGTGGTGAGTGAATGTGAAGGCCTAGGATGTTACTGCCAGCACTGTATCCTTAGGCTACACTAACTGGTAAAAAAAGAAATGTTTTTTCTTCAATAATAAATTATCCCTAAGGTTATATGGCACACTTCCTAGGTGAGGGGCACAACTGCAACAGGGGCCTTACCTAACAAATGCAAACATTGTAACCTAATGGTTTGTACCCTCATGGTAATTGGAAATAAAAAAGTAATAATAAATTATAGTTAGCTTACTGTTGTTTGTACTTTATAAGCCTTTAATTTTTTAAAACTTACTCTTTTGTAATAGCATGGTTTAAAACTTTGACACACACTATACAAAAATATCTTTAATATCTTTATAGGCTTAGAAATTTTATATCAAACAGTTTTTTTACTTTTTAAACTTCTTTGTTAAACACTAAGACACAAAGACACACATGAGGCTAGGCCTACACAGGGCGAAGACCACCATCACTGTCTCCACCTGCATGTCTTTCCCTCCGGAAGGTCTTTGGGGCAGTAGCACTCCTGAAGGACTATCTTGAGGCTGTTTTACAGTCGATTTATTTTTTTGTAAGTGGAAAGGATACACTCTAAAATAATAATGAAACAAGTATGTATAATATAGTAAATACATCAAATGGTAACATGGTCACTAATATCAAGTATTATGTACTGTAGATGATTGTATGTCTTACGCTTTTATACGATGCCAGCATGGCAAGTTTGTTTACACCAGATCACCACAAACACGCGAGTAATGTGTTATGCTGTGATCTCAGTAGGGGATAGGAAATTTTTAGCTCCATTTTGATCTTAAGAGACCACTGTCCTATATAAGGTCCACCCTTGATCAAAAGGTTGTTATACGTGACTCATTTGTAAAGTTAATTCAGTGGAACTAGGTTCTAATTATCAGTGTTGAATCATGAAGGCATGAAGCTTTAGTGCCTTGCTTCAATTAGATTTATCTTTCTAACCCCATTCTACAGGACTATGAACTACAAACAATGACATACCGGGCCATGGTAGATTCACAACAGAAATCTCCAGTGAAACGCCGAAGACTGCAGAGCTCCGCAGATCTCATTATTCAAGAGGTAAAAAGAGTATGAGAGAGAGCAGGGAAGGAAGGTAAAAGGAACAACATTTTAAAAAATGATTTTATTTATTTTCATTGTGGTAAAATACAACAGAATATAAAACCATTTTAGGGTGGCGCCTGTGGCTCAAAGGAGTAGGGTGCTGGTTCCATATGCCAGAGGTGGTGGGTTCAAACCCAGCCCTGGCCAAAAAACTGCAAAAAAAAAAAAACATTTTAAAAGTATAATTTAATGGCATTTCAGTATATCATAGTGTCATGTAACTATCACTGGTGTTCATTACCAGAACTTTTCCATCATCCCAGACAGAAAGTCTATAACCCAAACATTATTAAGGGTTTAAAAAAAATCTTTAAAACATATTTATTCAGGATTATTAACTCTAGAGATGAATAAATTGGGCTTCATGGCTAAATTTAGAAGAAAATTACTTAGTGTGGTTGCACAACAGTAATGAGTTCATTCCTATATATTGTTGGGGAGTTGTATCCTTTACTGTTCCAAAGCCTAGTGGGTATTATAGTTATTATTCAAAGTTCATTCAATTTAATAAGGGCAACTGGAGATTATGTTATTATTTTCTCCTTATTTGCAGTTTATGGATCTGAGGACTCGGTACACGGCTCTGGTCACTCTCATGACACAGTATATTAAATTTGCTGGTGACTCACTGAAGAGGCTGGAAGAGGAGGAGGTAATTGCTAACCACAAACAGATAAATAAAAAGGAGCTCAACGCGAACAGTGACCGCAGAATTGTTTGTGAAAGCAGAAAAGGTTTCATGATAAATTTTTGTGGCTGATAGCAGATTAATTTACACAAGTAAATTAATAACAAAATTACAGTGAAAATGAGTAAAGGCCTAGGATTTTTGTTTCTTTTTAAGATTCTCTCAAATACAAAGGCATTTAAAAATTTTCAGTTCAGGACTCTAATGTGGATAGGGTTAATTTCCTAAATGGACCTATTTAAATTATGAAATATTGGCAGGTGGGAGAGTTTTTTTCATTTTTCTCACAGCTCAGAAGTATTTCTTTGGAGTATAGTTACTGCTACTATGATGTCTATAGAAATACTACTGGATGCATTTGTTTTATGCATTGAAAATTAATTTACATCTTCAAATTAAAATTATTATAAGTAATAAATATAGTAAGGAGACATTAACCTGAAAGTAGTAGGTGTCGTACAAAACAATACTACTCTTTAAGAATTACGGAATTCTTAGTTTTATTTTTGTTTTTGCCAAAAAGATGATTCTGATTTGGAGGACTTTTGGAAATTCACACCAAAATGATTGGAGACCGAGGAATTAGTTCCAAGGAATTAGTGTTGGAACTTTTGGAGCTTTGGGTTCTGAATTTAAAAATTCTGTTCAGAAATGGAAAGAGTGAGGAGTTACTTATGAAAATCCCCAATTGTCATAAAAGACTATTGTATTTAATGCTCAAGGGATTAAGCTATGCTTCATTATCTTGATATGCTTTCTGTTGCTCAGAACAGATGAAAGTAGTTCCCTGAACGCTCAAATAAATTGTGTGGGATCAGCCATTTTAAATTGGACTATTGTTGAAATTCTGAAGGTGATTATGTGTGGTGTAACTCCATTCATATAAGAGAGCCAAGACTTAGTAAACATCTATTAGATGTTACTTCTTAGTTTGTAAAAATGTCAACACTTTTGTGAATTATTTTAGTCTGTTCAGAGTCAAGATTTCTGCAGCTAAATCACTAACATAGCTAAATGCAAGACTTTATAACCAGTTTCCTCTGTGCTTAAAAAGGAGTATGAGAATGTTTATCTATGAAAGAAATCCCCCCCTTTTTTTACATTTTTAGTTTTTGAGAAATTTTATACTATTTTAAATAATATTCAGATCTTTTAAATTGTATATGCAGAAATCAGATATAAAATAAAATAATTTTAAGTCTTTTTTTCCCTTCTTATAGTATAAATTTGATTGTATATGTATGGGCTACTTTGCTCAATTTATCTGATGAGGCAAAATACTAGCAATTAAAGAAACAGAAGATATTTTAGAAGACCTAAAATATATGCAAATTATTATTATCATCTTTTGAAATATCACAGATTTATAGTTAATTGAAAATCAAAACAATATAGTTAATGGAAGAACATGCAATGACTGTAATTTGAAATAGAAAATAAGACCACCATCAAGGATCATATTCATAGAATGTCTTTGGAAAGATGTTCATAGCTCAGCTTTTAGGCTCAAAAGTGTAGTTTTTCTGAAACTAAGTCTTAAAGATCCATATGAGAAACCTTGGTCTGAGAGCAGAATTTATTTTAACAAATATAAATTCAGCATAAATGCAAATTAACTTCAGAAGTAATACCAAATTATTTAGGGAAATGTCCATAGAATATCTGTAATAGATTGTAGATATGATGAAGAGGTTCTTAAGTCTGTGTTCAGAGCAAAATAGATTAAATATTATTAGATTTTAATCACTAAGATTAAAGGACAACTTTGAAGAACACTAGGGAAAACATGAAGAAATTATTTTTTATGCAAATAAGTTTGAGATCTACAAGAAAACAAATCAGCAAATGGACTATTATTCTTAGTAGTTTTTCTTACATTGGCTAGAACATTCAAGAGTTATCCAGACAACACAAGGTGATTAACAAGTCACTTTGCCTTTACTTAAGATATTGAAGGTTCAACAACAGGTATTTTTTTTTTTGGAGGAAATTTTCATTTTTTTTTTTTTTTTTTAACCTGAGAATCTGACCAGGAAGAAAAAAAAAGTCTTAAAACTTCTTAGCATTAGCTAAGTTTTAAAGGTGGTTTGATAAACTGAAAAAGAACCTCTTAGAAGTAGTCTCCTAAAAAATATGAAAAACTCAATATTTCAGTAGATAAAATGCTTCAGAGTCACAAAGCGTTGACCCTGATACTGAAATAAAGAAGATAGAGCAGTGAGCTTAGCAGATGGTGATAAGGTTTGTTTCTGTATGAATTATTATTAGAAACTATATTTAGGCTAGCAGAGGAAATTCTGAGATCATTCTCAGAATAAGAATTCTGAGGAAATGATCGGGGACCAAGGAATTAGAGGAAGCAAAATAAGTTTTTTTTTTTTTTTAATTGTTCGGGATTCATTGAGGGTACAAAAAATTAGGTTATACTGATTGCATTTGTTAGATAAAGTCCGTCTTATAACTGTGTCCTATCCCCAGCGGTGTGCCATACACCGTGACCCCTCATGCCCCCTCCACTCCTTCATGTTTGAAAATGAAAACAAATTTGTTATCCAAAATAATGTCTCTGCTACTTTTTAAGTTGTTTCTAATTGTTGTGATTTCGAGTTGATACAAAACTAACAACATTATGTTACTAACAAAGATAACTAAATTGTAATCATGCACTAACCTTGATCCTGCTGTAGTTACTATAACGTGTACTCCTCCCAGCTGAGGTTGATTCTATCATCAGTAGAGTAAAAAGGGGGTGTTTTTGTATTTTATTTTACAAATTGAAGCACAAGCCCTAAGTATATTTGAAAGAAGCTATTATATTTAACAGATATCTTTATTTTATGGAGTATCTAAAGGTACTTGTCAAGGTGGATTCGTATGAGGCATGTCATTATCAACAACAACAAAATCTGTGAGTACATGAAGCACACCTTTCCAAAGCCAGCAGGGACTGGGGCTGCCTTTGCATTAGCAATTCTGATTATGATAATTGTCGTCATATGGCAAATATAAACACGTAAGGAATTTGACTTGAAAATTTTCAAGTCTTTATACATTTTCCTTTTTCCCCATGTTAAGTATTATTTCTTAATTTGGCTGTCTCCTCTAAAGTTCTTTGTTTTGTTTCTTTAACCATAAAACATGAGAATGTAAATATCATTTTTAGTTTGCATCAAGCTAGATAAAGAAACTGAATTCTTCAGCGTCGTTCAGTTCCTGTGTCTTATCTGTTTTTAGTTCATAGGACACTGTGTTGTGTGCAAGAAGAGAAAGAGAAACGTCGTGAGAGTCTTAGTGCCCATCATGTCATTCACCCATCACAAGTTTACAGAGTCGTTTAACACGCCCATCTCAATTTCCCTACCTGGAAGAGGTTGGAGTCGTGCTGTATGTTTTGTCAGGTCCCTTCTTGCTAAAAAATCCCGAACTAGCTAATTTTTTAAATAAAATTATTCCCGAGGGACAAAATAAGATTCTTCTGAAAACCTGTCTCGAAGGGTTGTTCTTTGTCTCCTACCGCTGCCTTGCTGACGCTTGCTCCGACGGTGGTGCCGGTGGTGGTGATAGTGCTTATTCCTGCATTTGGGCTCACGTGGTTTTCTAAGTATGTTATGCATCAGATGCAAATTGTAAGATAAATTTGAACAGAACGGGTTTGACGCTTTCAAAACATCTCTTGTAGATTAAAAGGTGTAAGGAGACTTCTGAACATGGGGCATACTCAGATCTGCTTCAGCGCCAGAAGGCGACAATGGTTGAGAATAGCAAGCTGACGGGGAAGATAAGTGAGCTGGAGGAGATGGTGGCGGAGCTGAAGAAGCAGAAGTCCCGCGCCGAGGAGGAGCTGCCCAAGGTCAGAGAGGCTGCGGAACATGAACTGAGGAAGCAGCAGAGGAACGTGGAAGACATCGCCCTGCAGAAGATGAGGGCTGAGAGTGAGGCCAAGCAGTACCGCCGGGAGCTGGAGGCCATCGTGAGAGGGAAGGAGGCCGCCGAGCGGGAGCTGGAGCGCGTGAGGCAGCTCACGGTGGAGGCCGAGGCCAAGAGAGCCGCCGTGGAGAAGAACCTGCTAAATTTCCGGAATCAGCTGGAGGAAAACACCTTCACCCGGAGAACGCTGGAAGATCACCTTAAAAGAAAAGATTTAAGTCTCAGCGATTTGGAGCAACAAAAGCATCAGTTGATGGATGAATTAAGAAGGAAGAGAGATAACGAGGAAGAACTCTTGAAACTGATAAAGCAGATGGAAAAAGACCTCGCGTTTCAGAAGCAGGTAGCCGAGAAACAGTTGCAAGAAAAGCAGAAAATCGAGTTGGAAGCCAGAAGGAAAATAACGGAAATTCAGTATTCGTGTAGAGAAAATGCGCTGCCGACTTGTGCGATGACTGAGGCTGCATCGTGCAGGGCAGCGACCGGCCTTCAGAACGATCACGATAAACAGAAAGCGGCCCAACTCCAGCAGCAGGTGCGTGACCTGACAGCGGCCAACAGGAGGGCTGAAAAAGACATGCAGGAGCTGAAGTATGAGCTCAGCGCCCTGCAGCTCGAGAAGACTTCGTCTGAGGAAAAGGCTCGTCTGCTGAGAGATAAACTGGATGAAACAAATGATACACTGAAGTGTCTTAAGTTGGAGTTGGAAAGGAAAAACCAGGCAGAGGAACAGTATTCCCAACAACTCCGAGAACTTGACAGGCAATTGAGCCAAACCACAGGGAAAGCGGAAGAAGCCATGCAGGAAGCCGATGATCTCAAGAAAGTAAAGCACAGTTACCAGTTAGAATTAGAATCTCTTCATCACGAAAAAGGGAAACTGCAGAAAGAAGTGGACAGAATCACCAGGGCACACACCATGGCTGAGAGGGATATTCAGCATTTGAATTCACAAGTTCATTGTCTGCAGGGCGAGCAGGAGTTTGAACGACTACGAATATGCCAGAGAAAATCAGATCATTTAAAAGAACAGTTTG